TGTTTAAAAACTAGACAGTTGACATGTTTAAACACCTGACATTTGAGTAAGAATAGTTTAATAGTTAAATTTGCTGAACTGTGAAATTAGAAACATTTCCTGACATCTGAAACTGATAGATTAACATATTTTCAGATTGTGTAATGGATGGATGAATGTTTGGATGGATAAAATGATGGATGGAGGGATTGTTGGATGGATGGATGTTAGATGGTTTATTGGATGGATGAATGGATGGACAGATGGATGGATTCATTAGACCAAGCTGATCGATTTGATGTATCATATGTATCGGTGTGTACTAGGGGTTGTCTCAACTAGTCGACTTCAATGCTCTGTAGTGACTTTTAATGCCTTTCATAGACTAGTCGCTGTCACGTGAGAATGACAGACAAGATGCAGTCCTCCGAAAAGACAGCAGGTGACGAGCCTCCCGATGCGCTGTGCCAGAGCATCCAGGTAAAACGGACATTTGACCGAATTGTGACCTTTACCCTCTTGCGATTTTACTTTCCCCTCACCCTCAGCCCCATCCTAACCTTAACCAGCTTGCGCATGCAAAGCTCTGATCGTTGACGCGCTCCAGACAGCTGCGTCCTGAGCACGGCCACAGTAACATTATCGAATTAGGTGTCGCCACCTCAAAAACAAATTTAACACACAATCGTTCATGTCGGCTCATTTCCTTTTATGTTTTCTGTATTTTATTTGTGCCTGATGCATTTTGCTGCTGTGGATCGGAGTGCATCACCTGTTTTGTCCTCCGGTGTTCTCACCTCACTGGTGCGGCCGGCGCGCACTCTGCTGTCTTTGCCGTCGGTAGATCTTTTAGAACTGCAGTTCAAAGGTAACTCATAAGGTGAATAAATATGAAACTAGGTAGTTTTTCTTTAGGATTGAGAGGAGAAGCAGGAAAATAATAAACAGAGACAGGACAGAGAAATAGTCAAACAAAAACAAGTTCGTTTTTGTACCTGGTGTTTGCAACAAACAGACACCATTGAAGGTAATCAGAAGTGAGGATCAGAAAATGAAATAATTATTTTAATGTTTAGAGCAGCAACTCTGAGAGGCTGCAGGTGCACCAGTGAGTTTGCGGCCGCTGTGCAGGGGAAGGGGAGAGAGGGCTGAAGCAAGATGAAGAAACTAGCGTTGTTAAAAGAGATGTGTTTAACTTAGAAAATGTGGGCACAATTTTAATTGTCAAAAACTCCAGCGAACCAACCCACTTCAGGTGTATGACGTCATCAACAACTAGTCAAAGTAGACTCGATTTTCATTACTTGATTGTGAACTTAAAAAAAAATTAAGTCATGCAGCCCTTGGTGTGTACTTCCATTTAGCCAGAAGATAATTGAACTCTCTCAGCCAATCAGAGAGCTGGGACGGGGTTGGGCGGTTTCCCGCCTTCTGATGGTCAATAAATGTAAGTTATGCTTCTAGTTTTATGTACAGAGAGGTCAGAAAGATCAGAAACAGCAGTTTGTTATTTGCTGGATATTCAGCTTTTTATATTCAATCCTATGAGACTTGGATAGTGATCCTTTTTTCCTTGTGTTGCCACATTAACAAATGGCAGGAGTCTGCTTTAAAATAGTAATGTCCAATTTCACATGACTCTTTAATTTTGAATAATGTTTCTACGTTAAAGTATGTTGATACAGTGGTGTCTTAAAATGTAAAAATGTTGTTGCTAAGCATGTGCTTAACACACACACACACACACACACACACACAGAAAGATAAGCAGACAAACAGTCAGACTTAGATCCTTTGATCTCTTAATTGCTTACATTAAAAGTTAACGAGCAAACTGCATGTGGTTACACTTGTCTGCTTCCTCAGATTCAGTTTTTAGGTCTGAAAGAATATGTTGCCATTCAAAAATTGCTGCACCTATTGGAAAATTTCAAAAAGCGTGAGCGGCAGAAGGCCTTGGTGGTCATCTGAGTGAATTTTTATTTGCCTACCTTGAATTGTCTAGAAGCTATGACGAGAACATTTTAGCTTTCTGAAGCTGATCGGAGGAGAAAATCTGTTTCTTTAACATGTGTATCAATGAGACAAAATCAGGGTCTCTCCTCCTTTTGAGGCTCGTACCACAAAAACCGTAATACCTACAGAAAAACCGAAGACAATGCTTCGAAGGCAACAGAAAACCTAATGTTTTTGAGAAAATCATTAATGTACAAAAGATGTGGTCGTATGAGACAACTCTCTATTAAAGAATCTTTAAAGAATCTTGGCCCTAACTCAAGGTCACATGACTGTCAGTGTGGGAGACAGAAACATAATCTCAAACATTCTCTATGAACACGACGACCACAATTTTTGGAGTAGCTTCACAAGTTATACCTCAAAACGGAGGTATATCCATCAGCTCTCATCTCTTGCAAGTCTCATTTTGATTGGACCTACGGTCCTCTCAGGAAAGTGCCTGAAGTGGAGCAAATTTGAGCCACCTCCCCTATACGTTCCCTTTGTAGGAGGAGAAATTTCCGAACGTGTCTAAAATGTACCTAATATGTAAAGTGCGATTGTAGAAAAGCCGTAAAAGATATTAACAGGCAGAGTCATACGGAAATAGCTGAATGTCTATATATTTTTAGGGAAATGATGGGATTATGGTTATATGGGGTGATTTTAACCTGTAAAGCACTTTGAGCTGTATATTTTTTATATGAAAAGTGCTATACAAATAAAGTTTGATTGTGTTGTGAAGCACCTTGGGGGGCTGTAGAACCCCAAGAGGGCACTATACAAATGCAGACCTCTTATTTTTTAGTATTTACAGAAATGTAAAAATGATATAAAAGTAAAATAACTAATTGCTAAAAAATAACTGATCAGTTAAAAACAACTACAAAAGGTTAATCAATTAAAACATATGCAGTTCCATCCAGATGTTCTACCTTCATCACAAAAAATTAGTAATCGATTTGAAATAACGGTAACACTTTACAATAAGGGTCCCTTTATTAATCTTAGTGCATTATTAAGCATTAATAAACAAAGGGTCCCTTTATTAACATTCCCGATATTAACCAAGTGTACTTAAGGTTAGGACAAAGGGCCAGGGAGTGTCTGCTTAACATGGCCTATTATTAAAAATATTAAGCATTTATTAATACTTTAGCAACTTCATAATGCACTATGTTTATTTGTTTAGCAGACGCTTTTATCCACAATTTATATCCTATAGGGTATGTTGAGATCTGTGGGGGAAACCGGAGTACCCGGAGGGAACCCACGCATGCATGGGGAGAACACGCAACTCCACGCAGAAAGGCCGCAGCAGAGTTTCGAACCTGTAACCTTCGTGCGGTGAGGCAACAGTGCTAACCACTGCGCCACCATGCAGCCCTAAGTAATGTTAATAAAGGGAACCTTATTGTGAAGTGTTAGCTTAACATTTTTCTGTTTGTGACTAAATTTTTAAGCAAAACAATATGCTTCACCAACAAAACAATTACACATTAGAAATTATTCAAGTAAATAAAAAATAAGACGACTTTTCTCTGTTTACCAAACAAGAAATGAGGAAATGCTTCATAATTTCAGATGTTTAAAACCATTAAGCATTTCTGTCCTTTCAAAGCGACACGTTTTTACATCTTAATGTTTAAATTATAAAAAACCCACACATACACATTTAATAACAAAAAGGTTTTTATTGGCTTCTCTAATCCGTTCATCATCTCAATAACAGGTACAGCCTGGGAAATCATATCACAAGGGGTCTAGAACAAATAAGACAGGAACGGAGGAGTCTGCTACAAAATTTGGTACTGAGGTGACAGAAAAAAAGCCGTACAAAATATTTTCATGCATACTGGAAAAAAAAGTTTTAGTGTTTTTGTACATTTTTGTAAACAATATCCTTCTAGCGATCATATCAAAACACATTATGGCAAGTAACAAAAATAAGGGATATAACATGAGAAGACTGAATGTTCTATGAGGCATCTATAATTCAACACTGCTCGGTGTGGATGTTTGTACAGGGGAAAAAAAATAATACATTTGCATTTTGATGAGTCTTTTTGCTCAATAATTGTAAACACAGGCAGTGTTAAATGATTATACAATATGTCGAACCTATACTACAAATATTTCCACTACATACATAAAACGCGTGTCCCTGCTGTCTTACGCTTTAATGATATGAGGTATATTTAGGTCAATCTTTTTGTCTTTTTTTCCCTCCATCCTACCCACTATTGGTTTTCTCTCTTTTAAAAGCATAGTGTGTTTGGAGTGAAGTGGCTGGTCAGTCAGTCTTTGTTCCATGTGATCTGAGCAGCTTCAAAGTCTCTTGGCTGTGGAGCTCACAGACATGGGAAAGGGAAGGGGGAGGAGAGGGTAATGGCTCACAGGAAATCAACTAAATTAAATATCAACCCTGGCTGCCGGACAGAGTGGCTTTAGCCAAGGAAGACAAAGAAGGCCATTGTTTATTCTTGAGTGCAGGGCTGCATTTTGGGTTGGGGAGATGAATTTTACTGAATGGTGTTACCATAGACGTTTCTGGCTATTACTAAAACATTTGAGGAGGGGATTTTGAAGAAAAAGAAATGTAGGTCCGTAATCATTTGCCTAAGAATATCTGCTACTGAGTACAAGGGATGCTATTGTAAAATAAATAAAAGGGTATGCGTCCAACATACCCACTGGGGTTCCAGCATGTCAGCCCATTTCTCAAAACACTTAAATACAAAGAGGTACTTTCAAAATATTGTTTAACAAAATTATGGCAAATTATCTTTTTACATCACCCGAAAAACCGTAAAGAAAAATAAAAACCCAACCCTCCCACACCCAACGTTCTACCCTGAAAAAAAACAAACCCATAAATGCCCGCAGTCACATGATCAACCCCCTCAACTAAACCCACCCACCCACCCCGATTCACAGTTTTCTCCTCTTAAAAATATTAATAATAATTAGCATAATCATCACATATCACATCTGCTAATTGAATGAGTTATTGTTGTTTCCAATGAGTTGTTTAAAAAAGTGCTTGTTTGATTTCATTGACACAAAAAAGGAACAGCAAGGAGTGGAGTAGAAAAGTTGTGACTCGTTTAGAAAAGATAAATATTTCGGCGACAGCGCGGTGAACGACGATCACCGGCTGGCGTTCAGAGACGTACAGTTGTAACAGTTGGGCACAGTAACTTCTGTCTGAGCGACGTATTCTTGTTTCTGTAGCCACACACACGTGTTTTATTCACTCGATGCTACGATAATCCACGAGGGCCCAGCGGGCTGAACTCTGCTACACATTGTATGACATCACGCAGACATGACCCTCAGCAGAAACGGCTTCACATTGACACAACAGTACCGTATTCATGACACAGCTACGTGCAGGAAAACCAAACATCGTTGTGTACTGTCAATTTGTTGGTTTAAAAAGTACAAATAAAATAAAATTAAAAATGTTCAAAGCTTCGCAGTCTCAAGGTACATCTGTAAAAACTGTGCTAATTGCATCTCACAATACAAAGTCTTATTACACAATTTTGCCTATTTTCCTGAGTTCATGTTTCTTGTAACAGACAATATATACTTTTTTGCCATTTGAATTCTGGGCCTTTCCCTGCCACAATGTTATTATTACTGAAATCATCATCATTATTCATAATTACTTTACAATGGTATGATGATTGATCAAACACAAGGGTTCGGAGGAAGAAGGAAAAAAAACAAGCAAGTTTATAGCTACTCTCTAAATGTTTTTAAATTACATTTAAATCTACGGTACGGTCATATCAAAAATCACTACTTTAAACAAAACATAGGCAACTACATGATAAAAATGAGAATATTTGTTTAAAAATTGCATTTGAGGCCATAGAAGACCCTCCCTGGTCACTTCTGTATTAACATTTAATGGCAGTGTTCATAAAATCAAACTTTGCTACAGGAACAAAATTAGAGAATATGAGGGGACGTGGCTGGCTGAACGGACAGTAACAAAAACAGCCCCCCCACACACACACACAGGCTTCATGTCGTCTGACCCTTATCTGAAACTTTGGCTTGTCGGGGTTTTTGATCCTGTACTCACTGGCTCGCTGACGTCAGCTAACAAGCTGGTATACCCTGAGAATTCTGACACCGGAGTCCGTATTCTGTGCTCCACCTCAGCCCCGGGGTCACTGCTGTAGCTCAACGGGGTCCGCCGTCCAGACTTGAACTGGGAGCCAAAGGCTTGGGCGAAATTTTCAATCTGGTATGTGGTTTCTTTAAGGGGGTTCAGTGGAGACAGGTCTGGGTAGGTGGAGCCGTTGGTAGGTGCAGAGCCCCCTCCAGCCTTAGACTGCTGTCCCTTGGTGGCCTCGGCTGTGGCAGTGAGCTCCTGGGGGGGGAGGGTAAAGGTGCCAGGGGAGTGCTGCTTCTCCAACTGTTCGGTTAGCTCCTGAGATGGAGTTAGCTGCTGGTGGCTCGTAGGATCCAGGCTGAGGTGGTAGCCTGTCTGGGAGGGTGACCCGACGAGCAATCCATAATGAGACTTGGAAGAGGATGAGGAGGAGGTGGAGGAAGAGACGATGGGTAGTGGAGAGGAGACGGAAGGCGGGTAGCCGCAATCTAGTGGAGAGGTGGAATATGCGTGTTTGTCGGAGAACAAGGGCCCTGTGGGACTGGAGCTGCTGGACAGAAGTGGGAAAGGTCCCGTTGGACCGAGGCTGGGGAAGGGGCCACTGTGGCTGGTGCGCTCCAGGGCCTGCAGCAGAAACTTTGAGTACTCGCTCATGACTGCTGTTTTGTCACCACCGTTAGGGGAGTCGTCTTCTAACTCTGGGGTAACAGGAGCTGCTGGCTGGAGGTCTACATGGTGTGGGTGGTCTGACAGGTCAAAAGTCACATCATGGTGGTGTGTTCCCTCTGGCTTATGGCTATAATGATCCAGCAGGCTCTGCAGCACCTCATCTGGAATGCCTGACTTGTCGTGCTTGAGTTCCAGTGGTGAGGAGTCCAGCATTGCCAGTGTGGGCTCTGGCCCCAGAGAACCCTGGATCACGCTGCTGCCCTGGGGCGCCATGTGAAGAGATCCGGCTCCATAGTCATTGTTAACCGCATGGAGGTAGCGCCGCTTTTTGACAAACTGCATTGCATCATCATAGTTGCTGCTGGTGGTGGGACCGGGCTTACCGCCGCCCTGGAGGAGACCCAAGTTATCAAGGCCAGAGCCATCCACGTGATCTATGGCTCCGGGCTTCTGGCCCAACAGTTTTTGTCCATCTGCATCATCTTCCAGGGACAGCATGCCCTTGCCAAGCCCTTTGCGACCAGTTTTTTTAAAGACCAACTTGGGAGCACGTCCCTGCATGGAAAGATCAGAGCCCGAGGGATGCTCCATGTTGAAGTCCTGCAGGCCCAAGTCACGGGCCATCCCCCCAGAAGATGAGGTTGCTGTCGCTGAGGCGTTCTTCTTCTTCTTGCGTTCACCACCTTCAGCGTTTTTGGACTTTGCCCTCTTGCGTCCAGAGGTGGTAGAGTTTCCCTGAGAGAGTGAATAGCTGCCCTGGCCTAGCTCGGCTTCACTGAGCTCCAGCATGTTTGGATCTAGACCCTTTTTTATGGCTTCTCCACAAGTCCGTTTGTGCTTCAGTAACCGGTCTGTTCTGGAAAAAAACTGACAGACAAAAGATACGTATATGTAGTTTGCACTGCTGCAAAAATGTACAATTAAAACTCTTTAAAAAGGTTGCTTTCTCTAAACTCTAAATATTAACCATGAATGGGAGAAAACATATGAAAAAACAAGTGAAAGCAGTAAAAAAGCCTACTTGTTGGCATGTGTCGCAACGATACGGCTTTTCTCCGCTGTGTGTCCTCTTGTGTCGCTCCATGTGGTACTTCTGAATAAAGCGCATGTTACATTGGTCACAGCTGAAAGGCTTTTCCCCTGCATAACACAGCAACAGCATCAGAGGTGGAAGATTGTTCTGATAAGACACCGACTCCAGTTATCCAACTGCTCAAACTCACCGCTGTGGATTTTCTCATGTCGCTGGAGCAGATACTTCTGAATGAAGCTCATGTTACACTGACTGCAACGAAAAGGCCTCTCACCTGTACAATCAAAAATGCAGCCAATCATAAACAGTGTTAAAAAACAGCCCAGTGACTGCAGAAATACAACTTGGTCACGAGTTTAGATACCGCTAAAGGTAAGCAAATTTCAAGTTATATGAAGTAACTGAAACAGAACCATACTCCGCTGTGTGCCGGCAACAAGTGCTGCTTCTTGCTACGATTAATAAAACGATCAGATATAAAATTAGGTCTACTTTGTTCTTTAAATAACAAAATAACCACAAAAGCGTATTGTTTGTATTATATTTGACCTACTTTTGATCAAAACTAATAAAATACCAGCATTTCCCGCTCATGAATTAATAAAGAGTTTATTTTTTATCAGAACACATAGCGGGTTAGCTAATTAGCATTTTGCAAGATTGTGAAGTACAAAACCAAAACACACACAGCAGAATTTACAGGTTACACAATTATTTACAATGCCAGACAACTTTGTAATGTTTTATTTGCATTTCTAATACAAAACATTAGTTATTAGCTTTCTCTTTTGACGTTCAGAGTTTAACGGATTGCGACGCTATGTATTATCGGAAACTTTGCTGTCCCAAGTCCACAGAAGGATGCACTGATGCATCCTTGATACAATGGGCGGGGCAAGAACACATCTGGGAACTCCGAGCGAACTAGCCATGATGCAGTTAGGATTGGAACGGTCCTTGGGCAATCGTTGACACAAGGACATGAGTACACAAGTTCAGACAAGTAAGCACACGGAGAAACGGTCCTAGTAATGGAGGGCCGGTATCCACCAGGTTTTAGTTTCAACCCTGCTTCAACACACCTGATTTCAATCAGCAGGTAATCGACAGGCTTCTGCACAGCACTGAATCAAGTGTGTTGAAGCAGAGAAACCACTAAGGCCCAGTCCACACGTAGCCGGGGATCTGCCAAAACGTAGATATTTTTCTACGTTTTGGCCTGTCATCCACACGAAAACGGAGTTTTTTTCACACGAAAACAGACCTTTTTAAAAACTCCGGCCAAAGTGAAGATCTGCGTTTTCTCCGTTTTGGGTGTCTGCGTGTGGACAGACAAAACCGGAGTTTAAAGGTCCGCAATGTCACTTTCCGCGACAATAAAATGCTGACATCACGTGTGCGACCTGTGTTTACACCAGCCGACAGCATGGATGCTTGTTGTCGCTGACAATGCCCTCAGAGCTGCGCTCTCTTTATCAATTGTCCAAGCGCTTTTTGCTTGTTTGTTTTTGCAAGCGGAATTACTGCTCCTTGTGGAAGACCACAGACGAAGGACGAGGTTAAGAACGGGGGAAGTACTGCCGCCTACAGGTCTGGCATGTCCTTAACGTATTTATCCGGGTACGTGTGGACAGAATTTTTTTCTAAAACGAGGTGATGTGGATGCAAGTTTTTGGAGGGGCGGATATTCGTTTAAAAAAAAAACGGCTACGTGTGTACTAGGCCTAAAACGTGCTGGATACCAGCCCTCCAGGACCAGGATTGAGAACCGCTGTTCTAGAACCAATTAATTTCCCATCTGTTATAAATACAAATCTACATCTGGCACTTCTTCAGATCACCAATGGTTCGACTTAAAATTCGTCCCCCAAACAATCTGCTAATATCCACAGGTTCATTTAGAAAAAGACTTAAGCTTCTTTCAGAAATCCTCAAGACGTCTGGCCCCTTCAAAGTCAAATATGAAGGAATACTTCGAGGACTTTTCCAACAATGTGGCATGAAGATATTAATAAAGTCACAACTCCTTTAAACTGTTTATGAGTTCAACTTCAAACAAACCAAAAGAGAAATTCCCAGCCGAAAGAATGACTAAGAGGCCCAGAAACACATGCGTAATCATGGAGTCAATCCTGCATTCAGTGACTGTCTGGTTTTAGGATCCCCAGCTCTCTGGGTAGGAAGCGCCATGTGGTAATGACTCTTTTCCCAATTAGTCATTCAATGAATACACATCTGAGGCTGCGTAATTGATTAATGTTTCTCTGCGGCTATCAAAGAGAACAGTCACAGATGTTACTATTTATTATTATTACTCACACATATGGTATGACTTTGAATCATGTAGCTCTGGGAGAAAGAAAAACCCATTGTGTAGCACAAATCTTATTTTAGAGACATTAATACATTGGAAATCTCTCACCTGTGTGTATGAGCACATGTCTGCGTAAGTGGTAAGAGCTGCGAAAGGCAGCGTTACAGTGCTCACAGATATGTGGTTTAGAGTTCGGGGACAGGCAGGCTCCGTCTCCTTCCAACATCATAGCCTACAGCAAAAGTACACAGAACATTTCTGTTGGACAAAAAACAAGCAGGCTTTTCTTTTCATGTACTTGCACTTTTTAGCTAAACACCTATTTTTGTAATAAATAAGAGGTAGATGGAGGAGATGGACCTTTGCAGCATCATTGCGTTTCCTTCGAGCTTTGCCTTGCCCATCTCCGTTGCTTCTCCGCCCTCTTCTCCCTGAGGACTCTTTTGGCTCTTTACCTGGTCGTCCAGGCATCTAAAGGAAAGCAGAAACAAATGAACTAAAAGCTGAACTAAGTTCAAGCTGAACTAATTTTCAACACGTAAAACCAGCTCCTCGTTCTCACCGGTTCTCCCAAAGAGCGAACACTGTTGAGACTGAGGTCATGTAGGAGCATGTTCTGGTGATTTTGGTGCTGGCTGCCAAAAGACATATCCGACATGTCAGTAGCACTTTTCCCCGAGCCTCCTCCGGGACAGGCGACCCCTACTCCGCCACCCACACCATAGAGGGGCATTCTGTAATCCAGCTCACTTAGTCGCTCCTGTTTAATGCCCATGCTGTGCAGGAAACCCCCTGTGTTTGCAGCGGTGGTGCTCTGATGATCCGGAGGCGAGTCGCGCTCTTTTTTCAGGATCATCTCTTGGGGAAGTTCACCCATAACGGACTGAGAGGCCAGCCGCGTAAAGCTGGTGACCGGTGGCAGGTGGCTGAACATAAGCATGCTGGGTGCAAAGTTGGAGTCCATGCCTCCATTGCGCAAAAACTCATTGCCTAGCTTGTCCTGGATAATACTCATGGTGGTGGTTCACTCTGTGCAGGGGGAGAAGGAGGGCGATTACTCTAAAGAGGAATGCAGGAAGAGACCATTCTGAGAGAGGGGACAGATACAAAGGTAGGTTAGTTATTATATTCATAAAAAGTGTTTGAAACCAAAAGAAGTCCAAACTTCACTGTTCAAACATTACTAGTCTTTTTGGTATTAAGAGTGGTACATAAATGACTAAACTGATTCATTTTAAAGGTGTGGATGACTTATTTAATCAATGCATTTGCAGTGGTCTCTAGTAGGAATAAAATACCTTGTAAGTCATTTTTGGGGGGACACAATATACTGGTGCACCATTACCAGGAACTGAAGTTACCCACATCACAGCTGCGCTACAGACAGCAGGTTTTGAAGACTTATATCCTGATATTTGGACATCTCGCCTAGAATGGATAACAGAAACGCGACTCTACTACTAACATGCAATGTGGATGTTTCATCTTAACAAATAACACAAGCCTGGAGGAGCTTCAGCCTAATTTTGGACTTGCTAATGCTAAGGGTTAGCTTCTGCTAGTTGGGATTAGGGCTGCTCGATTATGGCAAAAATAATAATCACGATTATGGTGACTGAAATTGAGATCACGATTATTTAGGACGATTTTTCAATTTATGTTGATTTTATTTGTTTTTATTCAGTCATAAAACTGCTCAGGGCACAATCAGGACAAAAAGAAATAAGAAACAAGATGATCACTAAAATAACTCCTGATTCCCAGTATAAAAAGACCAATATACTTTTAGCTCAGTCTATGACCCAAGGGCTATAGACCTTGGTTTAACTCATTTAAGTCTAACCAGTACAGAACCAAATACTAATATCTTGCAAATACTGACAGCAAGAATTATACAGTGGCATTTATAACAAATAAATGCAAATAAATTGATGTTCACAAAATGTTGCATAACATTTATTTAGTCATGTCAAGGTGCTGTAGGAGCGTGCACTAGCACCGTGTCCTCAGAGAGATTAGTTATTAGTTATCAGTGTGAGGAACATATTTCTACCTTATTTATAAACTATTTATGTACAGGTCCATCAGTTAATGTAATAATTGTCCCAACCACAGCTGCACCCCCCACCCCCCAACCCGGTCTCACAGCAATCAGGGGCAAGCTGCACGTGTGTTTAGCACGCCGCACGCGCACATTTAGCTGTTTTTATCGGCTCAGGAGTCCGCAGGTGCGGTGTGTGTGTCACTCACTCTGGTTACTCCAACAATGAGCAGGGCGGCTCCGAGAGCTGTCTTTAGCGACCGACACATCACTACATCATTCCCTTTCCTAATGTCCTGAAGAACGGTCCGGAGCGCAGGCGGAGTGTTTAGCTAACCTGCAGGAAACGTCGACGACAGTTATCCAGAAAGTAGCTAAGGGTTACCAGAGATGTTTCTGAGATGTTCGCTAGGTACTTTTAGGATTTAAAAAGTCAAGAAGGGGATCTGAGAAGCTGTTAGAAATAGCGTCAAAGTCGCCAAGTTGGCAACACTGTGGAGGAGCGCTTCATTTGCAACTCAGGGCAGCGCAAGTGGGAGGAGCAAATAATCGGCTTGTTTTGTTTTTTATAATCGTTCAAATCTCAGATCGTAATCGTGATTAAAATTCGATTAATTGAGCAGCCCTAGTTGGGATGTTGTCTGCAGTTTACTGAATGTTAAAACAAGAACAGATTTCCTTGTCATGAGTCAAGATGGGTGAATCTGTGAATTATAATTCACAGTCTGACATAGATCTGTAAGGATTTTCAAATCCTTGAGTTTCACCGTCTATTTTCAATCAGAAGCTAAAGCAGGAGATAGGTGTAGGAGACTTTTATGCCACGTTCAGCATGCATGTTAAAATAAGTGACAGACTATAATCAGAAAAAAAGAACATTAAAAAAATGGTTTTTACAGTCAACCACACCTTTATACTGCCACTGCTTTTAGAAATACCAACTAATGAATCATGCATCCATCAGCATCATCCACTGCTTTAGTTTCCAAACGTCAAAATGTGCACCACTGTAGACCTGGCATCACTGTCATTCATAAACTAAAGGTAAAAAAAAATAATCTGAATCTGTCAAAATAAACACAAAGATGGCAACCTGTGATCTTAATCCGCGTCGCATTGTTTAACACTTACACCACACAGGACTTGGCCTGCAGCCAAAACAAAAATATTCATCGATGTATTGTCATTTTTTTGGACAAATATTCATATTGTCCTTAATTTTTGTACGATCGAACCTCATCAATACCATTTTGACTAATAAACATCCACGCAAAAGCTAGGAACACAGGCGAACTTGGTCGCCTCAGCGCACACGACTAAAACAAACGATATTTAGGTCAAATCCAGCGTGAGTTACTTTAGAGGTTTAAAGCAGACGCAGTCCGACGACTAGAGAGGGACGTGTAACTTAGCACGCGCTGATAGAAGAGGCGAGGCGAGAATTTATTGTTTAGTCTAGACTTGACCATTTGGCACCGCCACACCGCATTCGGGAAAAGCGGATGAGCTTTTGTGATGCATAGTAGTTAGCCAGCAAGGTAGCATAGTTAGCTAGCCACAATGAGACACAATCAAAGCATCTTAGCGTCCTCAACCAAAACAATCGGCTAGGACGCTCCAAAGAGCTATTTCTGAATTTCATCTTACGCCTCTTCAATGTTAACGTTAAAATACCACAAACTAACCTGGTAATAGTAAAATATGATATTTTTATTCGCCATTAAAGTAACGTTTTAGCATGTCGTCGGGCTTGCTATCAAGTTAGCTAAGGCTAAAATATGGCTCGTGATTTAATGCGATTGACGCTAATATAAACTATTTGCAAAATAATTCTAGCTGAAAACATTTCAAAAGCATTTACAGATAAATCAGTGGCAAAACTATATGAGACACTGATTAAAGAAGATTAGGAAGCACCTTTGCTTTGAAGTTAGGTCTGCGGCACGTATCGCTCATACTCCGATCCCCTAGCTTTGATGACGCCCGTGAAATCAAATCTGTCTGGCTGCAAGCAGCGCTGGCGCTCCATTTAATGATAGCTAACTTTAGCAGGAATTACCACCTGGTAATCTTCACCAGCGTAGGGAGTTAGAAAATAATCACAAAAGACTAGCCTCCACGTAGCCGTAAAACCTACAGCGCAAACACGTTCAAACGAAACGCTTTGTTTATAACAATTAAACTACCACGAGCTAGCTAGTTAGCCGCTAGCTGCCCCGTGTGAAACCCGCATTAGGGCCCAGGCAACAGAAACAATGATGCTGGCTCTCCGTCTACACACAGCCACACAATCGTTGGTGTAAATCTCGACAAAGGCCGAGGACCGGACTATAGTAAGAAGCTGTAGTTTCCCACTCACCTACGCATGACCGCAGTTGGTTCCAAACGCGTGTTTATAGTCTCTGTATTCACCGCTTGGGGAATTATTGCCAAAACATTGTTCTGGTACGTTCGCTGCTTTCTTCCATGTTGTCCTGGCGCGGGGAATTGTGGGTCGAGCGGACGGGTCGTGAGAGGAGCCAGGCGAAAGCTGCACAGGAGAGGAGGGTGCTCCCTCTGAGCAGCGCTGCTTCAAAATACACATGGATTACATCCTCGCGTTTTATTTTTACACGAGTATGAACAAATCGTTCATTTTACATTTATTATCAGACAGCATTGGTCTGATTTTGATTGTAATTTATTTCAACATTCACTTGATCCAGTGGTCCAATTTAATCCAAGTGACATGCCTGCAAAGAATATCAGTAAAGTTACTTTATTTCCTTGTTTTTACAAGTAAATCAGGCTCAACAGGCTTTATTCCTTTTTAAGGTATAAACATTGTTAGACTTTATTGCCTGAAAAGCTTATGTAAAATACAAATGACAACAATACATTTTCAACAAGACAATTATACATCCAAATTCGTTTCTGGGTGTAAGATGGAACTTGTATGTGATGATAAACCTACCTGAGGTAGAAAATAAAGTGTCTCTCAGTGAAATTAATTCAATAATTTTTTTCTTCTTTGTGTAATTTGACACAGAATTAGAAATTTGAGCTCACTAATACTTTTAAATCTGTCCTTTTGCATCACCTTGCACTTAAAAAATAGAATGGCTAAAAGGTAAAAGCTGCGTTTTGAATATTGACAAAGACTGGAGTGGACTAGAGTAGCTACTGAATAAATTATTACGAAGGAATCACACAACACAGATAATATTATTTCTGTGAGGTCACACATACTTATTTATACCATACTGCCTCACTATATTTACTCAGATGATGTTTAAGCAGTACAATTCAATGTTTGGTCAATTTTTATCTTATAAAAAACCAGAAACATTTTAAAGATCAAACCAGCAAATTTATGTCACAGACACAGATGCTTTTTAGTCATAAACTGCCCCACTTCTACCTTCAAATCTGGCACTTTTATTTCAAGGGCTGCACGATATTAGGAAAACCTGCAATATGCGATAACAGTGATTAATATTGTGATGACGATATTACTCACAATAAATAAAAAGTTAACTCAGGAACAAAAATATTCAAAAACAAAGAAATAAAAAAAATGACCAAAATATAAAAATGAGAAAAGGGAAAAAGAAAATGAACAAGAACAAGAAAAGGCAATCAGTGGATCCCGGGAAAAGCAGAATCAGCAGAAAGAGCAGAACAAAGCTAACTCAGGTGTTTGCTAACCATCAGAATTAAGTGCCTTCCATCTAGGGGGCGGGCATCTAACCAATGAGAACCCACCCAATTGGCTAAATGTGTGAAGAGCTCTATTTGATTCGTTAAAAAAACATCATGCTTCAGTTTGATTGACAGAATGCATTATGTGAGCTGACCATTCATTGCGATATTTATCGGTTCTTCGCGATATGCATATTGCACATGCTGATATCACGAAAAAGATATATTTGCAATATATTGTGCAGCCCTATTTCAACAAGTGTACTAATAATCAACTGGCTCTAACAGAAAAAGATTACAACACAAACACAAAAGATAAACTCGATAGCTCGATGGAAACATCTTTTTTCACTTTATCGTCTCACATCTCCTGAAACTACCATCTCTACATAAATCTCTGTAACACTGAAAAACCTTTTCATAAACAACAAACTAAGGACAGCTCGATTCTTCAAAATAATCTAGTGACTCATAAATCAGACAACCAACTAGTTCTTTAAAACTACGTTTTAATGCTCATTTATTTGTGCTTTGGAGTTTCATTCTTACAACACTTTTACTTGCTGTCAGAAATTATTTTCCACTGCTGTGTAGAACCTGTTATAATTTAAGCCCTTATTCAACAAAAATGAGAAGGTATTTGATCAAAGTGTGTTTTAATGTCTTTTGCACATGCTTTTTTATTCTATGTAGATTTGAATTTAAATTTTTTATCTTCTTATTTTAAATACTATACTTACACAGTTTAAGCATCTTATTTTGGAGAAAACTTCCTGACACATTCTCTTCTTATGATTGCAGCCATTAGCTTGCTTTCCACTCAGTGAGGTATGATGCAACATTTGTTCAACAACACAAAACCAAAGAGGAAGCTGATTCCTCTTTGGAAAGTCACTTACATCCAAACGAATCATTTACAGTTTTGTGACAACAGCTATTTCTCAGATTCAGATGATTTCTCTGCAGTATAGCGGTTTTAGGCACGGTCGGGCAGACAGGGCAGTTGCCCGGGGCTGCATTTTTTCATGACACAAAAGGGGCGCACAAGCGCGGAGTAAAAAAAAAAAAAAAAAAAAAAAAGGAAATCTGCGCTGCACCGAGGTTTTCTATTATCTGTCATATGACAGTGTCTGGATTGGAAACAGCAAGTTGGCGCCCCCTGCAGCTGCAGGCGCTCCTGCTGAGAACGTTCACGTGCACCGTGTGTCTATGAAGAACAGGAAGGGGAGGGGTGCGGCGGGGGAATTCACCTCTGCGTCTTTCCCAAATGAAATGAGCGTGCAGGGGCTGAATCAACTTAACATGGCTAAAGTCAATCACATCTTAACGTTCTTCCACATTTCATTCATAATATCATAAACACAGGCCTATCATTCTTTCAGGTTTCTCTGAATTGTGTGAAATGGCAGAATAAAAAAAGGAAAAACAAAACGATTTTGTGATCACCCCCCCATCAAGGTCAAATAGTTTAGTCCTGACTAACCCCCAAATTCCACTACCTCCGCTCCGCTGCGCTCCGCTCCGACACGAACGCCGGAGCAAAATCGGTCCCGTTGTAGTCAATCAGAGCTATTCCACTACTGCGGCCGTGCTCCGGCAGTGCGGCGCCGTGCGCCGCCCTCTGTTCCGGCGTCCGGCAAAAATAGAATCGATCCTGTTTTCGCCGGACGCCGGAGCACCTCCGCAGTAAATGGACAGAAATCACAACGGCCCAACAGGAAAAGGAGCAAGCACAATTTCCGTATTTCACAATAAATCGATAAACAAAAGGCGTTTTTTGTTTCATATGCACAGATTTAACAACTTTTAACCACTATCAATGGCGGCTGAAGTTTAAATGCACAAAATTAAGCCATAAATACAGTTTCCACTATCAAAGTAGTCACACTTTGTTGATCCAAACACTGCTGATCTCTCAACACACATGATGGGCAGATTAAACAGTTCATTTCGATGCTTCTCCCACACAACGGGTGTTTGGATCTAACTTCCGCGTATATTGCTCGGACTGTATCGCAAGATCTCGAAAATCCCGCGCATGCTTGTTTGTTTCCTCAGGTCTCCGCACCGGAGCGGAGCCGTTGTAGAGCGGGTACCAAGGAAAATTGAGTTTGGAAGCGAGCGGCTGCGGAAGGCGGGGGCGGACCGGAGCGGAGGTAGTGGAATTTGGGGGTAAAGGAAATATTACCCCCAAATTCCGCTACCTCCGCTCCGCTGCGCTATGCTCCGACACGAACGCCGGAGCAAAATCGGTCCGGTTCTAGTCAATCAGAGCTATTCCACTACTGCGGCCGTGCTCCGGCAGTGCGGCGCCGTGCGCCGCCCTCTGTTCCGGCGTCCGGCAAAAATAGAATCGATCCTATTTTCGCCGGACGCCGGAGCACCTCCGCAGTAAATGGACAGAAATCACAACGGCCCAACAGGAAAAGGAGCAAGCACAATTTCTGTATTTCACAATAAATCGATAAACAAAAGGCGTTTTTTGTTTCATATGCACAGATTTAACAACTTTTAACCACTATCAATGGCGGCTGAAGTTTAAATGCACAAAATTAAGCCATAAATACAGTTTCCACTATCAAAGTAGTCACACTTTGTTGATCCAAACACTGCTGATCTCTCAACACAAATGATGGGCAGATTAAACAGTTCATACCGATGCTTCTCCCACACAACTGTTGTTTGGATCTAACCTCCGCGTTTATTGCTCGGACTGTATCGCAAGATCTCGAAAGTCCCGCGCATGCTTGTTTGCCCCCCTCAGGCACCGGAGCGGAGCCGTTGTAGAGCGGGTACCAGTAAAAATTGAGTTCGGAAGCGAGCGGCTGCGGAAGGCGGGGGCGGAGCGGAGCGGAGGTAGTGGAATTTGGGGTTACTGAGTCAGGAGCCAAACAGAAGAGATGAACATAAAAAGGCTAAAACCACCAGGTGCCCCATTCAGGGGGAAAAAAAGAAAAAAGAGGAGAAAGATAAAGGTATGTAGCTCTCATGATGCATGTTTTCAATTTTTTGAACCAGTTAACTGGGATTTTAACGGTTAAATGCGGTCAACTAATTGCTAACAGAGCTAATAGGGCTGAAATATTGAAACGGATATTCAAATTGTTCGAAAAAATTCCTTCAATCGTTTTTTACTGATTCAAACTAGGATTTGTTAAATGCTCGCTGCAGCCTGTGGCCTGCCTGAACAACAACAAACAAATGTTGATCATGTTCACATAATAATAAATAAAACAACTCTACAAGCAGAAGAAAACTCCCCAGTCACCACTAACTATCCTGTTTATTTATTGCAGATGGCTGCACTGATTATTTTTTACATGATTTGTTCTGTAAAAGTTGGCATTTTTGGTAGTCTACAGTTTTTTATGTCAGTTTAAATTACAATTTCAGAGGCAATTCTAAAATATTATGGATCATGAGATCTATTGGAGATCTACCCAACTTTTGGACTGCTCTGCCAGTCACTGTGGCTCAAGCTGAGAGGAGCTTTTCAAAACTTGATCAAGTCATACCTGAGGTCAGCTATGTTTCAGGGGTGGCTCACTAACCTGGCTCTGATTAGTATCAATCACTCATTAGGGGAGCAGATTTCATGTGATGACATTATTGATGACGTTGCATCAAGGTTAGGTTTTAATTTTAGTTTGTGTTTTCTATTCTAAGTGCAATGCCGTAGTGATTATCTTTAGTTTGTTATGTGTGAAATATTTTTGCTATTTACAATATTTATTATCTATTATGTTCATATATTCTTAATATTTAGTTATTGTTTGTTTTTGTATATTTGATTCTATATATTTTGATACAGTATATAATGTATAGTGCTTTACATTCTGATAACTTCGTAGTTATTAATGTAAATATGTGCAACTTAGAAAAATGAATGTTCAATAGTCGTTCTAATACAACATGCCTGTTTGTAGAAAACATGCGTGTGTTCATGCAGGTGGGGTGGTGTGGTGGTGGTGGTGGTGGGGGGGGGGCGGTTGGGGGGGGGCGCTCAAAGGGGGCCTCGCCCGGGGAGTAATTCGATGTAGAACCGCCACTGTTTCTCTGAACAGAAAACTATTACAATCAGCTGGACTGGGCTTTTTTTTCTACTTCAACACAATCTGAGACAATAAATTCATTTCCACTGCAGCACCACTAGAGAGCGCTAAAGGAACGCTACTGGACTGGGCTTTGTTTTGAATAATCTACGCAACCCATCAAATGGAATTTAATGAATGAATGAAGATAAAAAAAGATAAACTGAAATTAATTAAAATGAAAAAAGATAAGGTAAATGAAAGGACTGGAAGCTGAGTGAGCCCATTGTTGTTGTTGACTCCTGATACTCTCAGCTGATTGTGTGAAGAAGACACGGACTGAATAAAAAATAAACTATATCCCAGCGTTCCGTTTAGAAACCCTCAAGGATATAAAAATTGACACCAAATCTTCTTCCCCAGTCATAAATTTCATCCTTCTTTGCAGAACAAAGGCACGCATATAGGCGCATCTGTCACGATTTTGCGCGTTGAATCCAAATGTATTTATATTCAATGCATTAAAGAAACGTCTTTTATTCTGAGGGGATGATAATACCAAGGGTAAAAGTTGGCACTTGGAAGAGACCTCGCTGCGTAAAAGGAGCGACCATTGCGCAGAATCTCTGCGCTCTCTTATTTCCAGGAGAGGCACGCATCTCCATCACAGGATGATGCGAGTTGCGCGCTGAGTCGTTGCCTGCTCTTGGGCACCAGCAGGACCCAAAGTTGCGCAAAGAGCCTGATCCTGCACAACTATTGGCACCATGTCAGCCGTGCGGAGGAAATTCGGCGAGGACTATCAGGTGGTGAACACCAACCGGACAATGACTTTTTCCGCCCCTGTGAAGCGGAAGCGGCAGCGCTTCGTGGAGAAGAACGGCCGCTGCAACGTCCAGCACGGTAACCTTGGCGGGGAGACCAGCAGGTACCTCTCGGACCTCTTCACCACGCTGGTGGACCTCAAGTGGCGATGGAACCTGCTCATCTTCATCCTCACTTACACGGTGGCGTGGCTAGTCATGGCCTCCATGTGGTGGGTGATCGCCTACATCCGCGGAGACCTGAGCCACGGCAGCCACGAGCCGCCCTACACCCCGTGCGTCGCCAACGTCTACAACTTCCCGTCCGCGTTCCTGTTCTTCATCGAGACCGAAGCGACCATCGGCTACGGGCACCGCTACATCACAGAGAAGTGCCCCGAGGGGATCATCCTCTTCCTCTTCCAGTCGCTGCTGGGATCGATCGTGGACGCCTTCCTCATCGGCTGTATGTTCATCAAGATGTCGCAGCCGAAGAAGCGCGCCGAGACGCTCATGTTCAGCCAGGACGCGGTCATTTCGCAGCGGGACGGAAAGTTGTGCCTCATGTTCCGAGTGGGGAACCTGCGGAACAGCCACATGGTGTCGGCGCAGATCAGGTGCAAGCTCATCAAGGTATGATCCACCCTCCAAAAACGCGCACAATTGCGCGCTTGCAACTCTTAAAACGTTGTGATCCAGTTAGTTTATTTGTCAGATATTTAAGAGTCCTCTCTTCCCTTTAAAGCTTCTCTAACCCACTTTAAGATCACATTAAAAGTTAAATCAATAGCTTTACGTTTGAGGGACATAAAGAGTCACAGTCCTTTAGCACCACTTGTCACAAAGTTTCACATCCTAAAGGTCAACCTTATCCTATCCGGACACAAATGGACCGAGAAGAGATTTTCATATTAAAGGAAGAAGAATAAAATCAACAGAACCCAGCTCTGCTTTTTGGGTGGGCCACTCTTTTATGAACATAAAAAGTTTGAAGTGATGAGTGTTTTCTTTGTTCATGAAATGATGTCAGTGCTGACAAAAGCCGGAGGATGAAAGCTAAGCTGCTGAAAGAAGAGAGGAGGAACTAGTGTGTCAAACTAAAACAGAGCCAGGCTTCTACCTCCAACCAGGGCCAGATTAACAATAGAATAGCAACAATATTAAAGGGCACCATCATCACGACCCAAGGATCACCATAATATGGTCACATACAGAATATTTTACTGTAATATGCAGTAAATATACTCAATACTTGAGTGCCTGACATCACGTAACCCGCTCAGGGTAACCTTTGACCCACCTCGTGTGGACTGACCAATGAGGAGAGGGTCTTAACTTGAGGCCCTCTCTTTGGTCAGTCTGCATGAGACTGACTCTCAACCGCTCTCAACTGACGTTCAAAGTCATAGGCAGCGAAGCGTCTCTGTGCAGCTCAAAAGCCCGGGTGGACAGTAGGGTTGTCACGGTAACCGGTGTAGTGGTAAACCCCGGTAAAAAAGTTGACAATAATAATAACCGTCTTGTTTTTAAAAAAAATATTATCTCGGTGGATTACCGTGGCTGCGGTGTAGGCGCGGTGACCCTTACCAGCCACCGTATCATCTACTGAAGTTGCCGGCGGCTCATGCGCGCTTTGTTGTTTACAGCCAAAACTTTCTTGAAGCTAAAGCTGAAATAATGGCCAAAGGAGGCCATTTTGCCTTGGCCCCCAAAATGTCTTGAATTGGCCCTGGGTGTGTGACTGAGTTTTGAAGGTGATCTGAATTGTATCAGATGTATAAATATTACATGTGTATAACTTATTGCTTTATACCGGTAAAAACACGTAGTGGAGATAAATCTACCTACATTTTACTTTTCAACATATTGTTTTGTTTTCTTGTTTTTATTTAACTATTTTCCTGTCTGTCTGTCTCTCATCTTCCTGCCTCTCCTCTAAACTCTCCAGAAAATCTGCTGCCTGGATTCTTACTTTTTCACCTCATCGGTTACTTTTGAGAAGATCAAAGGGATCTCCTGACCGCAAAGCGGAGAGCTCGTTTCGATGCTGTGTCAGTGAGGTGAAATCACCGCAGCGCAGGTGATGAGCGCCGCAGTAGCAGAGCGCTTCAGGGACAAATAAGTCCATAAATGATGTAATATAGGTAGAAAACGTTTTCCCGGCTCCCCTGGATGTGTAGGATATCCAGCTCCCCCATAATTCGATCCCTGCGGACAATTTCATCAATACAAGAATTCTCCCGGATGTCCCGGACAGAGAGTGAAAAGTGGACATGTCATAAATGTGTTTCTCAGCTCCTGAGCTGAACAGCCTGTGACACTCTGGTCCAGGCCTGACGTGTGAAGGACGGAGTTAGCGGTGCTTACCAGGGTGATCCGAGTTTTCAGCTCATTCAGGCCCAAGAAATCCAGCATCACGTTTTATAAAAGCCACAATTAATCAGCCAATTACACAGCTCTTGTATTAAAATGACTTATATTTATTTCTTTTTTAATTAATACTTGGAAAATGCAAAGAAAATATGGCATCTTGATTGTAATTAATTATTACAGAAGGTTTAGTCACAAAAAGAATAAATTAGTATAATCAACTTTTCTCCCACAAAGAAGATTTATAAGCTCCTGTTACTTTAACACCCCCTTGTTCTCTCTGGTTCATTGTGTGCTGCTTCCAGTGACAGAATGTTGCAGAAGAATCTCTTTTTTTTGGCACAACTCATGTGGATTTTTTATTTAAAAATATAGTTCGGAAGGATTCACGTCTTGTTTTTTCTGCTTAAAGTCCAATTCTGCTTTTTGTTTCAAATTAGATTGAAAACAGAGATCACCCTGCTCAGCTTTTAGTCTTTTCCAGTCAGATTTAATGGAAGTGAGAGTTGAATGACTTTCTGGCCCTTTTCTAGTTACTGTTTTTCCTATTTCAATCCAGTCTTCAGCTTTCCTTCAAAACAATTTGATGAAGTGATTGTGATAAATCTGATTAGTGAAAACACCTAAATGACCATTTAAAGGAGATTAGGTAGTTTTGGCTTGCCTTTAGCACCCCCTGGTGTCTGTTTAGTAGGACCAAAAGCAATACTTATGTCCTCCCTGTGCGTTTGTCTTTTTAACACCTTAACCTAACAGCTAAAATGTCTCCCAGCCTTCATTTGAGTCTAAATTAAACAAATCAGCCGTGTTCTTGATCTAAACCATGCAGCAAATGTGCTGGAACCAGACTGCAGCAATAGGTATGTGAGCTCAAGTGCAGCAGAACATTCTGGCCACAGACAGCAAAGGGGGTCTGAGTGATATTTCATTAACCCTGTAAAGGGTCATACTGGCTCAAGAAAGTGGTTTAAGATATAAAAAGTTGCAAAGCATCCCTCTAAATTGACTTTTTCAGAACAAACTTTTTTCATGCGGGTGCACAAATGCAGTGAATCCCTACTTTAACATCCAGTGGGGTCATTCGTGCCAAGGAGGATAAAAAGTTAACAATAAAAATGCACATTCATTTGTAAACATTGTGCATTATTTTATACTCTTGCAGGCAAATATGATAATCCTCAAACAGATTTGGTAACTTGAGTTTAGATTTCAGACTAAATGTGCAGGATGACAGATAAACACAGGTTTCTGAACCCATAAACACTCCTGCCACGATCTCCCAGAGTAACGTCTGCATCACCTCTTAGTGCAAGCACAAGCTTGTGTTTGGGTAACTCGCTGCTCAAGGCCACTGTCAGATGTTCACAAACTCGACTTGGAGAAATGAGGCATGCTGCAGTAAATCTTAATGAATGCCGTGTAAATGCTCTGCGACATGGCAGAGGCAATAAGTTACTGTGACAGTGGGGCAAGGCACGCACGAGCTGTAAATACTTAAGAAACATGGATACTTGGGATTTTGGCCAAAAGTAGAAAAACTAATTGGAAGAAGCACATTCTGATTACATTAAAACTTTACAATTTCCACGTATTCTCAGCGAAAATGCCACTTTTTTCTGCAGATAATCAGTAGTAGATTCAGTTTTGATCTTATTAAACCTAAAAAAAACATTTTAGAAGAGAAATCCCGCAGAGCAGCATGATGGTGAAGGCATCAAAACTATGAATAAACACATGTGGAGTGGTGAAATAGCTGAACACGTTTTATTTTCTATTTTCTACAAAATAGCCACCGTTTGCTCTGATTGCTTTGTACACTCTTGGCATTCTCTTGATGAGCTTCAAGAGGTAGTCACCTGAAATGGTTTTCCAACCATCTTGAAGGAGTTCCCAGAAGTGTTTAGCAGTTGTTGGCCCCTTTGTAAATGCTCATGGATATGAAAATAAAGACAACACATTGAATGAGAAGGTGTGTCCAAACACACTATATATATATATCCCCAGTGGGTAAAAAAGCCCAAAACAGTCATTTATGAACTTAGATACATATATCAACATAGAATTTGATAAAACAAGTGGATATTTAAAAATATAACACGGATTATAAACGTAAACCAACAAGGGAAAGACTGAATTCACACTTTTGACATTGTAAAATTGGCTTTGCTTTTATGCCTCATTAGCGATTAGCTCCGTGAGTTTTGCACGCAGCGTAATGACACTTATTTTGTTGTAAAGAGGAGACTGGGCTTTAATTTAAATGGCTGCTGCTGCACAAGATTACCTTGTATTGTCACTACTGTGTGTTTTTCTTGATTGGTGTAGTCAGCGTTTTTATTTATTTTCCCGGCCGTTCCACATAGTGGCTTATAGGGCTGCAGCTATCGAATATTTTTGTAATCGAGTACTCTATCGAATCTTTTATCGACTAATCGAGTACTCTAATAAATTACCCTTTTGTGTTTGTAAACCATTATATCAAATAGCATGTTATAAACTATGAAATACCTCTTAAAATGAGAAATCAATTGCCACTTATTCTTCAAAATTAGTTTTCAAAACTTCGGCACTTCAACTTTACTTCACAGTAAACAAATGCCTGTGCAAAAAATAAGTATACAACCTAAGCCGATTTTCTCCTCGCGTGAGAATCTAAAAACTAGGAGGATAACTGTTGAAGTAGCGCTGCGAGTGGCTGTGGCCCAAACAACGCCAGAACCGCTCACGAGTTGCATGCGCAAACATGGTTCGCCAGCTATTTCCCTACTAACATGCGTCCGTTTGAATTTCAGCACCTTTTTTTTCCTCACACAATCACAAGGACTGTCGAGAAAGCATGTTTGCCGTGGTTACGTCAAATTATACTGATCACAAAACATTTATTTACTTTCTTTCGTTTTCCTCCGCCACTCTCATAAATACCCATGTCCTCCTGCAGCAACCCAGAGGGACAACAGACATCAATAACAACACAATAAAAAGTCCGACATATTGTGTAAAAACTGCTATTTTAGCACATTTTTAGGTCCGATGTGTTGCTACCAGATGCACAGTGTGAGCTGAAACTGAGTGCTACAAATGAAAAAGTCGCACAGTGTCCGCAGAATCTATAGCAGAGCTCCGAGTCCGCTTGCTGAAGTGACATTTACTTGTGGATGTTTCCTGGTCAGGTGCTGCGGCATCGAGGATGTGGTGTTGTGGTAGGCTAAATCCATTTTCCAGTATTTACAGTGGAGTACGTTTTCTGCCTTACGAAGTGAAAA